TCAGAAGCTAGCCAAGATTTTCAAGTACTAAGGATTATTTTAATGATGTTAAAATACATTTCTTTTCACATTAAGTCATCTTCAAACCAAATGACATGGTTTGAAGACACAGGTTTTCCACTTCCTCTGTCCCAGACGGAGTCACAGAGCTCTGTTTAAACTTGCTCCAGGGGTTTGCAATGGCCGGTGCAACAGCGCAGCCTGCTGGGTGTCTGCCCTGGGACAAAACCAGTCTGAGCAGCAGTGTTTCCTCACTGCATTCTTACATTCATTCACTCTCTTGTTTAGTCACTCATTTATTCATACACTCAGCAAGCACTGAGAAGGCATTATATGCTGTGTACACTCTCACTATCTGCTGTATATGCAGGTGCAAACGAGCCGCGGCCCTGGCTTTACAGGGTCCGGATGGGCTTAAGGGAGGATTTGTTTGCATGGCTTGGAGGACGGGGCAAGAGGAGCCCTTGCAACCACGGCCTTCTCCTACGCACTAGGAGAGGGATGCTAAAGAAGGCGGGTGGCCCGACTGACTGGTGAATCATCCCTGGGTTAGCGACAATGGAAGACACCAATATCTTCCACACCAACTCATTCAAGTATTGCTACAAACGTATAGAGCCAAAACATTCCTTTTACTCTCATTTCTAATAATACACTCCTGGAAATTTATCTAAAAGTAAACATTCCAGCAGAAGACAGTGGAGGAATTACGTTCCACAAATGGTTCTTGCAGTGGTGTCCATACTACAGAAGTAAGTAAACAAAATCTTCAGCTATGTAGGATTTGCTAAGAATAATAAGTACTGCACAAGTATGTGAATGCATTCCTGATACATTAAGTATAAAATGCAGATTAACTTCAATACTCATTCTTATTTCACTAATGTAACAGAAAAGACAAAGACTAGAAAATGTATTATTAAAATAATAATTGCCTTAATTATGAAGACACTGTGTCTGATTTTTAATCAGACTGTACCACATTTAACCTGAACTGATCTAACCACACCAGCAGTGCTAGCGGTCCCTGAAGCCTGGCCCCTTATGTGTCTACTGAGGCTAGGCATCACCCAATTTGTAATTTTTGCCAATCTAAAGAAGTAAACGTGATGTCAGGCTGAGAGTGGTGGTTCATGCCTGTAATTCCAGCACTTTGGGAGGCAGAGGCAGGTAGATCACTTGAGATCAGGGGTTCAAGACCAGCCTGGCCAACATGAGGAAACCCCGTCTCTATTAAAAATACAAAAATTAGGCACAGTGGCATGTGTCTGTAATTCCAAGTACTTGTAAGACTGAGGCAGGAGAATTGCTTGAACTCAGGAGGTGGAGGCTGCACTGAGCTGAGATCGTACCACCGCACTCCAGCCTGGATGGCAGAGCAAGAATCTGTCTCATAAATAAATAAATAAAGTGATGTCATTCACTTTGAACTTTTAAAATATTGATAGGTTTAAACATCACTTAAATTATCTTCAGTTTGGGATCTTTTTCTTCAGTAAATTAGGCCTTTTCAGGTTTTTCTCTTCGTAAAATGCCTTTTCCCGTTTTTTACTGAGGTCGCTGCCTTGTTTTTGTTAAAGTATAGAAGTTACTTGTATATTTCATGTGTTAATGACTTGTCAGTTTGAGACATTGCAAAACACTTCTGCCACGGTATCTAACTTCTGTCCGTTAACGTCCACAAGGTCCTTCATTAAACAGGTTTCAGTTGTTACATACAAAAAAATGCAATCGATTTTTCCCTTGTGGTTTGTATTTTGAGGTGTTTAGACATCCTTCTCCATTACAAAGTCATGAATATGTTCTATGTTTTATGCTTCTTTCTGTTAAAGTCTTATCTTTCATATTTAGGTCTTTACCTGGCATCCATCTGTGGACATGTGCTAGGTGGAGATGTAGTTATGAGCTCATTTTATCACACATTCACTAAACAATTTCTCTTTCTCCATAGATTTGTGGTGCCAGAATTGGGCATATATTTTAAGTTCTACACATTCGTAAGTCAGTTTCTGAGCTCTCCACTGCATTCTATAATGTGTTTTTGTCTGTTCTGTATATCTAGAAGGGTAGAAATCCCTCTTTATCCTTCTTTTCAAAGTTGGCTAACTGGCGGATCTCCTCTCTTCCTCTACATTTTAGAGTAAGTCTATCAAGTTTCACAAAAATCATGTCGGAATTTTTAACAAGATTGCATTGAATGTATAGATTAGTTAGGGAAGAACTGACAACTTTATTCAGTTGTTTGAATCAAAAACAAGGAATATGTCTACTCAGATCATTTCTTAAGTTCCTCATTAGAGTTTTAGTGTGCTCCTGACAAATCTTAGGTATTTTTAAAATTAATTCCTAAGCACTTTATAGATACTTTAACTATTACAAACATCTCAATTTTTCCAGTTTTGTATGGTAGGTATACAGAAAAATGCTATTGGCTTTTGTAAGTTATATTCAGAAGGCCTTTTGAACTGTTTTATGAGTTTGACAAGGTTGACTGTTCTAGGTAAACAAGCATATAATCGTCTGCAGATGACTGTCTCTCTCTTCCCTTCTGCTAGTTACATAATCTTATTTCTTTCAGTTTCTTTCTGTATTAGGTATACCGTCCAACACAATATTACACAGTAGCTGTGATACTGAACATGCTTGTCTTCTTCTCTGTGAGCCACTGTACCCAACCAAGAAGATCATTTGATTATTTCAATCCTAGCACTTGGGGAGGCCAAGGCAGGGAGATCACTTGAGCTCAGGAATTAGAGACCAGCCTGGCCAATATGGTGAAACCCCATCTCTACTAAAAATGCAAAAATTAGCTGGGTGTCTTAGCACACACCTGCAATTCCAGCTAATTGGGAAGCTGAGATTCGAGAATCACTTGAATCTATGAGGTCAAGGTTGTAGTAAGCCGAGATTGCACCTCTTCACTCCAGCCTGGCAGCAGAGTAAGACTCTGCCTCAAAAACAAAACAAAACAAAACAAAAAAACAAAAAAAACAAACAAAAAGTCCTTGTTCAAAATGATAATGGAGTGGCATCGAAGGATTTCTGGGCTGTGAATATTCATACTAAAACCCACCTTATTATATCACACTATTTTAATATATTTATATATTTTAAATTTATTTTACCTAGGATTTTTGCATCTATGCCCATCATTAAAATAATTTTCTTTCTACGTCTATCTTTATGTTTACAATAAAAACTACAGCAGTCTTTTAAAATAAGCTGGGTAAAGTTTGGTCTTTCTTTCCTGGAGCAACTTATGTTAGGTAGCAGTTAATTGCTTCTTGAAACTTTGGCAGAATTAATCTGTAAAACTACCTAAACCTGAACAGTCTTGGACGACCAGTTTAATTTCTCTAACACTCATTGGACTATTCAAGTTCTTTTTCTTCTTTTTTTTTTTTTTTTTTTTGAAATGGAGTCTTACTCTGTCAACCAGGCTGAAGTGCAGTGACTCACTGCCACCTCCACTTTGTGGGTTCAAGCCATTCTCTTGCCTCAGCCTCCTGAGTAGCCGGGATTACAGGCACCCATCACCTCACCTGGCTAATTTTTGTATTTTTAGTAGAGATGCGGTTTCACCATGTTGACCAAGCTGGTCTCGAACTCCTGACCTCAGGTGATCCCCCAGCCAAGCTCTCGTTCTTCTTATTCTAATGTGAACATGCTTTCGCCGTGACATGCGCCTGTTCCCCTTTCCCCTTCCATTATAGTCATAAGCTCCCAAAGCCTCCTTAGAAGCCAAGCAGATGCCAGCACCCTGCTTCCTGTAAAGCCTGCAGAACTGTGAGCCAATTAAACTTCTTTTCTTATAAATCACCCAGTCTCAGGTATTTCTTTAGAGTAATGCAAGGACAGCTTAATACAATACGTAGGTATATACATGAATGACAGAGAATGTCTCCTTGATCAGATTTTGGTCAGCCTCCTCTGAGCTCTCTGCACCCCTGGACCCAACCCCTGAGGATTCCTGTCTCTGTCCCCGCGGAGTCTAATTTTAGCAAGAATCCTGCTAAGTCAGTTTAACACCAGTTCCCCACCCCGGGTGTCTGATCACCCTCCATAGCTGACCAAATTCCAACACCTACCCCACTCCCCCATGTGGATCGCCTTGACCCACCCTCAGCAAGAATCCTGTTAGGTCAGGTGAGCAGAGCCTCGACTTGATGTCCTCTTCTCAGTGACTTTCCATCCACCACCCCCCACCCTGTTCCTTGTCTATAAAACCCCGCATTTCCTTATTATTTTTGGAGTGGACCCCAATCTGTCTCCCCTGCTGCAAAACCTCAGAGCAGTCCCTTACATCCATGACGACGGTTCTGAATAAAATTCTGTCTTGCTGTGTTTAAGATGTCAGAAAGTTTTCAGATATGTGTGTGTATATATCGCTGTATCTGTAGACAGACAGACAGACAGATAAATAGATCGATCGATCTCCAAAGAGCAGGTTTTCCATTGTGCTTGCAATGTGCTTTCTTTTTGAACACTGGAAACTTAACCCTCAAGCACATCTGGAAAAAGTTTTCCTGAGGTTAGAGCCTGGGTTGGATTTGTGGTATAAACCACAATGCCGGGTAACGTGTCCTGTTTTCTGGCCACACAACTGTTAAGATTTCAAAAAGACCCAATCAACGATTCTAACCCAATTCTCTCCATATGTCTATTCACGCAGAGGCGATGGCCAGTTTAGCCATTTCCGGAGGAACCCGGCGCAGTCCTGAAGCTCACCAAGCGCCTTCCCGGCCTTATAGGGTTGGGGGAAGAACCGCTTCTGCCCTTATTAGAAGCACAGACCTGAGCCGGACTCCACCGCCCCGCCCCCAACCACCGTGGAAGCCAGAAACCCCAGGCATCCTCCCTCCCTCCCCTGCTGGCGACTACGAATAAGCCCGACCCAGACTTCCCGCGCTCAGACCGAAATGCCACCAGCAGTCGGGCCCCGGGCCGGAAACCTCCCCGACGCGGGGCCGCGGGCAGGGGAAGGGGCGGGCGCAGGCTGCGGGGCCGGCGCGGAGGATGCACACGGGGCTCCTGGGGCTCTCGGCCCTGCTGCAGGCCGCCGAGCAGAGCGCGCGTGAGTGCTGCAGCCGAAGCTGTGCTCACCCCTGCAGCCCCCCCACCCCACCCTGGCGCCTCGGGTGGCCTGCGCCCAGGGCTGCGCGCCAGCGATGCACCGTGACAGCCACCCTACCTGCCGAGCATGCCCGCCCGTCTTCAGTGGACGCCCACGCATGCACGATCCCCCACGGATGCATGTTTCCTCCACCCATGCCCGGCCCCCTGCCCCCTGACTGACGCTAGACTTCCTCTCGCCCACGCACGACTCCCCCCCACCCACGATGCATGACTTTCCTTCACCCATGCTCGGTCCTCCGCCCCCACGCACGAGCCCCCCCTATGCGCCCCACGGATGCAAGATCCGCTTGCAGAGCCAGGGGAGACGTATCCGCCCTTCCCTCCAACACAAGCTTTGCAAAGTGCTACGACGCCAAGATGTGCTCAGCGCGAGTCTGGGGGCGCTCGGGCTCTCCCGTGACCCCCGGCCGGCCAGGGGAACCCTGAGGCTTGGAGGCCGCTCGCAGGAGGGGTGGCGGGGGCAGGGGGCACGGCTCCGCATCCACAGGGCCCTGTAGGACGGCGACTTCGCTTCAGGGTTTAGGACGGGGTGGACACGGCCCTTCGGGGACACCTCGGTCCCGGGGGAGCCCGGAGCGCGCCAGCCGCGGCGGAGCAAGATGGCCCCATTTTTCGCGCCCTTTGGGTTTGAACTGGTAACTCCTTCGGTGCCGAGAGGAGCGTCTCCACCTACTTCCTACGCCTCTTCCGGGCAGAGTCCCTGTTGCGGTAGAGCGGGGACCCAGGGGCCGCTGGCTCGGGACTGTTCCCTGAGTTCACAGGCGGCGCCCCTGCCGGTCCCGCTGTTTCCGAGGCGCGCAGAGCAGGATGCGCACCGAGGACGCCCATGCGCTCGTGCTCCACGCCCCGGGTTGGGAGGGAAGGGCTGAGACAGGACCCGCAGGGATCGGCGCCCACCCGAGCTGTCCTCCCCTACCCGCTAGCCGGGCACGGCCTGGGCCGCAGCATTCCCCCGCCTGGCAGGCCGGGTCTGCGCCTGAGGCTTTTGTGCAGGGGAGGCTGCCCAGGACGCTCGGGGCATTGCCCCCGCTGTCCAGAGCTGCGGTGTCGGTAGCTGTGCCTCGGGGCAGTTTCCGCAGTTTCCCCAAAACTCGCGGCTTGTGTTCATTCATCCGCTTAGAACTTTACTGTTGGAAAACCCAAGAAACAATGGTATGGAAGGATGCCTGTGTGCGGTGCCTCTCCCGGTGCCCCGCCCCCACGACCAGCCTCAGACAACCCTCAGGAGCGGGGGCTGCTTCCATGGGAGTATCGGGGAGGTCCAGAGTTCCAGGCCAGGGAGTTCCCATGCGAAAGTAGAAGAGGGACCCCGCAGAGCGAGCTGTGATCATTCACGTGGAGACCAGACCCCACAGGGACTAACAGTTCCGTGGTGTGGCGTTACTGGCTGCACCCAACCACAAACAAGCAGACCACAGAGGGGGTTCCATCGTTCTCCAGGATGCACGAGATGCTAGGCACTTGGCACAGGTCATAACTCATCCAGCAGCTCTGGAAAGCCGGGCACTGGCATTCAGCACAGCTGGCCCTGCCGGCTCCCAGGCTGCTCCTCGGAGACTCTTGCTGCTGGTGCGGACATTGTGTTGGTTGGTTACTGTTTTATTTTGTTTTGTTTTGAGACAAGAGTCTCATTCTGTGGCCCAGGCTGGAGTGGGGTGGCACAATCTCGGCGCACTGCGAACTCCGTCTCCTGAGTTGAAGCCATTTTCGTGCCTCAGCCAGCCCTAGTAGCTGGCATTACAGGCACACAGTCACCACACCTGCGAATTTTTGTATTTTTAGTAGAGAGGGTGTTTCACCATGTTGCCCAGACTGGTCTTGAACCCCTGACATCAAGCGATGTGACCGCCTCAGGTTCCCAGAGTGCTTTGGTTTTGTTTTGTGGTTCGTTTTGTTGAGACAGAGTCTCACTCTGTCGCCAGGCTGGAATACAGTGATGTAATCTTGGCTCACTGCAACCTCGGCCTCTGGGGTTCAAACGATTCTCCTGCCTCAGCCTCCCAAGTAGCTGGGACTACAGGCACACGCCACCATGCTCAGCTTATTTTTGTATTTTCAGTAGATAGAGACGGGATTTCACCATGTTGGCCAGAATGGTCCTGACTTCTTGACCTTGTGATCCACCCTCCTCAGCCTCCCAAAGTGCTGGGATCAAGTGTGAGCCACTGTGCCCAGTGGTTTTGTTTTTAATGAGACAGTTAGGTGTGGCCACAAGATGAGACACTGGAGAGGCTCTGGAATGCAAAGTTTGTTGTGCTCCCAGGTCCTAGGACAGGGGACATGGCACTCCATGCTGCACCACAGGGGAATGTCACCAGGGTGGTCAGGAGGCAGGAGACAGGAACCCACAAGGGAATTTGAGGCCAGACCTTTAGCTGGGGCAGGGCACCAGCTTCAGATTAGCTCTTTGGATAATTTCCGTGGCTTTGGGGTAAAAGGGTGATCCCTAGTAGCCTGGCATTAGGCCCTGGGATGATTAAAGCCAAAGAAGCTTGCCTTCTGGGGGGTACGGGCCAGGTAGGGGAGGTCTGGCTCTGGCTAGATTTAGTTTGCATGTCAAAGGCAAGCTCCTGCCTGAGGCCTTTGCTAGCTCAAGTAATTGCTAGCCTTGGGGAGGGGCGGTCACTCCCCAGCCAGAAAAGTTTTAAGAGGTCTGGACATCCTAACATCCAAAAAATGTTAAAGTATTTAAAATGCAGCTGCCCAGTCTCACGGCAGCCTTCCGCTTACCCGCCTCCCTTTCTTCTCCCCCAGGCCTCTACACTGTGGCTTACTACTTCACCACGGGACGCCTTCTGTGGGGGTGGCTGGCTCTCGCGGTGCTCCTGCCTGGGTTCTTGGTCCAGACCCTGAGCTACCTGTGGTTCCGAGCAGACGGGCATCAAGGACGTTGCTCCTTGGTGATGCTGCACCTCCTACAGCTTGGCGTTTGGAAGCGGTAAGAACGGAAGTGCAGAAGAAGGATTCTTCTGTTCCTGTGGATTCTGTCCTCGAGGTCATCAAAGTTCAGCCTTGGGAAGAGGTTCGAAGCTGCTGTGTCAAACCCCTGCTCTGATCATGGCAGCCCAGGTCCGGCCTACACGTGGTTGAGTTTCTTCAACCTCAGGGGCTTTCTCTGTGCAGCTGGGACCTTACAAAAAGCTTTTCTTATCTTCAGTTGAAGTCCTGTTGCGCTGTTTTGTTGGTTGAGACTTTAGCTCTCTATAAAGCAAGTTGCTTAAGGCAGTTCCACCTACACACCATCACCTTCAAACAAGAAGGTGGCATTGCTTTAGTGAACCACAGGCTAGACAGTGAAGCCAGCCTGGTGATGTTTGCTTCAAGACTCATACCAAGAAAAAGTCATTGGGACGCCAGGGGCAGTTTTTTCTGTAGAGAAGTAGCCAGGGATGATTCTGGGGCGTGGTGGGCTTATCCGTGATCCACAGACCATCTCGGCAGGTGAGGGATCATTTTTTCTACTTTGAGAACCTGGATTCAAGGAGCTATCAGAAGAGATGTGTCCGCGAGTTTACATCAAGGGCACATTTCAGCTGTCAGCTGCCTCATAATTCCACTGGGTTGACAGGGATTTTTGTTTGTTTGTTTGTTTGTTTGTTTTTTGTTTTTTGTTTTTTGAGGCGGAGTTTCGCTCTTGTTACCCAGGCTGGAGTGCAATGGCGCGATCTCGGCTCACCGCAACCTCCACCTCCTGGGTTCAAGCAATTCTCCTGCCTCAGCCTCCTGAGTAGCTGGGATTACAGGCACGAGCCACCATGCCCAGCTAATTTTTTGTATTTTTAGTAGACACGGGGTTTCACCATGTTGACCAGGATGGTCTCGATCTCTTGACCTCGTGATCCACCCGCCTCGGCCTCCCACAGTGCTGAGATTACAGGCTTGAGCCACCACAACCGGCCGATGGGGATTTTTTTAAGGGGGAAAAATTCAAGGACCAGAGCAGTGAAGCCCTGCAGCTCAAGTGTTGATTAAATCATAGGCACTGAGGGTTGGATGGGTGTTCAATGGGTTGCGGCCAATGCTGCTCTGGGCCCTGGGGATTTATGCCTGCACACTATTCCTAAGACTTTCTCTGGATGTGCTGAAATGAGTGTTAAGCCCCACAGAGAGCATCATTGCGAGCAGGGAGTGACGCCGCCCCCCCCACCCCCACCACCCCAGAGGAGAAGCTCAGCCAGGAGGTAGGCGGTGCTTCTGAGAAAGACCTCATGTACCCACTCTCAATTTCACTGGACCCTCAGAGTTGGAGCCTAAATCTCTAACAGCACCAAAATCACACTTGCAGCCACAGCCATTTTGCCAAACCTGGGCCTTCGTTTCAAGCAGTGCCCTTCCTCTGAAAAGACAGGACCTTTCTTTCCCTGGGGAAGAAGGCAGAGAAGGGGCTTTCCAAGGGCCTCATAGGATTAGAGCCTCTCCTGTACCCTAGCTCCCTTCCCTGACTGGCCCATCCCAGTAATAAATCCACAAGGGCGCTGAGCCTTACTTGGCTTTGACTATCACAGTCATATAGCATAAGCCCTTGAGGACAGACAGGCTGTTGAGTGAGTCAGTTACCAAGACCTCATGTTTGGTATCCCAAAGAGACAGGTAAGCCCAGGTAGTGACTTAGAGAAGCTTCCTGGGTAATGGTTAGACAAATCTGCCTTCTGAAACTGTGTGGACCCTCAGGCGCCATGGAATCTGCTGCCTTCCTCAGAGATGGGGACTGCCAGGGGACCACAGTGTGTCCAAATTCATGCTGCTGGTATTTCACAGTGGACACCACACTGTCTTTCCTGTGTGCTCTTAATTTTCTTAAGTGATGCCATGATTTTCTGGTATATATCAAAAAACTAATTTGAATAATCTGGTATATATTAGTGAATTCATATAGATAAGTGAAGAGAGACATGAACATTAGAAATTGGGAAAAACAATTAGTCATGTATATTCTTATTTTCAAAAAGAAGTTAACGTGACTTTAAAAATACACATCGAAATTTAAAAGAACAAAAAAGAAAGGATGTGAGAAAGGCCAGGTATAGAGATGAAACGTTGGAAACCAAGCCAGAGCCAGAACGCACAGTTACTGGAAGCGGGTCACAATTTGGCCCTACGGTTTCTAACAGCCAGTGCAAGCATAAAAGCCACAAGATTTGCAGTGTTTCTCAGGTTAAATATGAACCAAAAACCAGAAATTTACTTCCTTGGACGAAAACTTTGAACGTTAAAATAGGAAGCAGTAGATCTATCCCTCATCCTGAAACTAGCATGTTCGGTTCAAAGAAAACACTAAGCATTGTTTTTTTTCTTTTTTAAGATGGGGTTTCACCATGATGGCCAGGCTGGTCTTGAACTCCTGGCCTCAGGTGATCTCACCCACCTCAGCCTCCCAAAGTGCTAGGATTCCAGGCATGAGCCACTGCATCTGGCCAAACACTTAAGTATTGTTTTCAGTGAAGCAATCCGGTTTTGCAAATTGCAGTTCTGCAAAAGGACCTGTAGGGGGAGCCAAAACCATTGTGTTTTGCCCAATTTTGAATTACCTAAGAATAGGTACCTTTGAGTGTCCTCATAACAAAATACAAAAGAATCTACTAACTGGGAAGCCAGTTAAACACAAACCTCCTGAGGTAAAGTTGCTTAGAAAAATGAAAAGATATGGCCAGGCCTGATGGCTCACACCTGTAATCCCAGCGCTTCAGGAGGTAGAGGCAGGCTGATCTCTTGAGGCCACGAGTTTGAAACCAGCCTGGCCAACATGGCAAAACCCCATGTCTACTAAAAATACAAAAATTAGCCGGGCTTGGTGGCACATGCCTGTCATGCCAGCTGCTTGGGAGGCATGAGAATTGCTTGAACCTGGAAAGCAGAGGTTACAGTGAGCTGAGACGGCGCCACTGCATTCCAACCCAGGCAACAGAGCAAGACTCTGTCTCAATAAATAAATAAATAAAGGCAACAATTTAAGCCACAATTGTATTCTTTTTGAAGTTCCCAGTAATACACACTATGATAATTTTAAGTCTGACTCTTTTCAAGAGAACCATCGTTAGTGGCTACTTAAAGATGATTACTTTTTACTATTTAGGTTTTTTTTTTTTACTTCCACTTTAATACTGTATATTACCAACATCTTTTTCATCTTTCTTTTTAAGAAAGACGGTTTTTTCATCTTTTTGTCCTCCACAGAAATGACAACACACAGTAACTTGCAACAAACATCTGCCGATAAATGAATTCCCATCCCAGGAGGATATGGGGTGGGGACTCAGGTCAGGGTGACTGCTGAGCCCCATAGAGCGGGCAGCCTGGACTCCCTTCCCGTGCAGCCACTCCAGCTTAAAGAGCCCTCGGGTCAGGTATTGGCTCCCAACCTGCCCGCACCCTCCCCAGACGTGGGGAGAGTGTGGCCTGGCTGAGCACCATGGTACTCGGGAAACTTACGTAGAACTGACGTCTTCCGCTTGCAGTCAGAGCCTGGCATCAGCCTAACTGGCAGCTCTTGGGAAGTAGTAAGGGCATAGGATATTGCTTAGGACGTTGTATGTCTCTGAACGAAAGGAGGTCCCATTGAAGCTTGCCACAGTCTGGCTCCATGTCATGTGCCTTCCGCTGTTCCCTAGGCACTGGGACGCTGCACTGACCGCTCTGCAGAAGGAACAGGAGGCTCCCCATCGAGGCCAGCTGCAGCTGCAGGAGGCTGACCTGTCGGCCCTTCGACTCTTGGAGGCCCTGCTGCAGACCGGGCCCCACCTGCTGCTTCAGACATATGTGTTTGTAGCCTCAGACTTCACAGATATTGTGCCAGGTGAGTAACTTTCGCCATGGAGCACAGACTGCCGGACTGCCGAAGGGGGAAGGGAACACGAGCCTGCTGAGCAAACCCCTCCCCTCGAGATTTCCTCTGCTTAGGAGAACTGGGACACCTGGAGCTCACTAGCCCATGATGATGCTTCAAATTGGCTTTTGCTGCTGCAGTGAACTTACAGAGAGTTGGCTTCCTTACTTCCTAAGGGTTATGTTCCAAAGTCAGTCCATAAGATAGAAATTGCCCATAATCAAAATTATCCTGAAAATACCTTGGAAAAGCTGCCTCTCAGTAAACTCGGTGCATAGGTTTTTCTCTTTTTTTCTTTTTAATTTTACTGCATTTTAGGTTTTGGGGTACATGTGAAGGACATGCAAGATTGTTGCATAGGTACACACATGGCAGTGTGATTCGCTGCCTTCCTCCCCTTCACCTATATCTGGCATTTCTCCCCATGCTAACTCTCCCCACGTAAACCATCATTCTCAGCAAACTGACACAAGAGCAGAAAATCAAACACCGCATGTTCTCACTCATAGGCGGGTGTTGAACAATGAGAACACGTGGACACGGGGCGGGGAGCTTTACAGGTTTTTCTTGTATATTTAATCATTAGAATCATTCTTGGCAGGACACAATGCCTCACACCTGCAGTCCCAGCCCTTTGGGAAGCTGAGGTGGTTGAATTGCTTGGGCCCAGGAGGTCAAGACCAGCCTAGTGAAAACCCATCTCTACCAAGAAATACAAAAATTAGCCAGGCATGGTGGCACGCAGTTGTAGCCCCAGCTATTCAAGAGGCTGAGGTGGGAGCATCACTTGAGGCCAGGAGTTTGAGGCTGCAGTGAGCTGTGATTGCACCACTGCACTCCGGTCCCAGTGACAGAGAATGAGACCTTGTCTCAAAAAAAAAAAAGATTCATAATGAAGCCAGAGGCTTACACCCTCCGAGCAGATGGAAACAGAACAACTGAGGCCCCAGCAACGTTTGATTCCAGCTCCCACGCATTTCAGGACATTCACATTCTCTGCCTGTTCTCTCAGTTGCTTCTTTTTTCTCTCCCCCCCCCCCCATCGTCATCCCCTTCTCTTCCCTCCCCACCTCTCCCCTCTCCCCTTGCTTATCTTCGTCTCTCCCTTCCTGTTTGCCGAGTGTACACGATTGCATATGCATAAATTAAGTGCCTGACATATATGACTGCGCTGTCCTTCTATCCATCTCTGTCAAATAGCCTGACGCCATCTGATGTTTTCATTCAAACAGCAAAGTACATTTGAGGTGGAACCATGCTCACAGCCTTTTAGGATCAGCTTTGCTATATGCAGAGGCCTTACAAGATCAGGATTTGGAACGGTGTTTCTTAAAGGGCCTAGAAAGAGTCCGGCCCATTTGCTGGGAAGAGCATTTGGTACATTGCTCAGTGCAAATACTTCTTACCTATCCCCATTTCTTCCTGAATATAAACACGTGTTATGTTACCTACTGGTCAAGGTGCTGGGTTAGTGATACCCTCTGTGCAGCCAGGCTTTAACAAGAGGTTACATGTACCATTAAAGAAATGCCATGAGTGAATCTTCACATGGTACGATGCTTTCCGAACCTTCAGAGCATACCATGTCTTTCCGCTTCCCTTGCAGGGGTGAGCATGCTGTTGTCCTGGTCCTCACTCTCCTGGGCACTGGTGTCCTACACTCGTTTCATGGGCTTCATGAAGCCAGGCCACCTGGCCATGCCCTGGGCCGCCCTCTTCTGCCAGCAGCTCTGGAGGATGGGCATGTTGGGAACTCGCGTGCTGAGCCTGGTTCTGTTCTACAAAGCCTACCACGTTTGGGTTTTTGTGGTTGTAGGTGAGCTGAGCTAATGATCTGGTCATCTGTTGCTGCATAACAAACCGACCCAGAAATGAATGCCTCAAGAATAACCACTTAAGATCCTCAATCCCAGGTCTGAGGGCGGACTGGGCTCTCTGCTGAATAGACCTTGCTTGGGGGGGGCCTCAGAGATGGCAATGGGGTAGCAGGTGTTCAGATTCATAGGGAGCCTTGATGGGAATTAGCAGCTGAGAATTCCAGTGGAGAGCAACTGGAAACTACCCGTCTTCTGTAAAAATAGGCTTGGAACTGGCTCGGCACTGCTTCCACTGTATTCTGTTGGTCAAACCAAGCATAGCCAGCCCAGATTCAAGAGCATGGAGGACTGGACTGCGGCTCCAGATGAGTACATATCCAGAGCAGGAAGGAACGCATCCTGGCTGTCTTGGGAGATACCCTGCCATAGCTCAGACATCCCAGCCCTCAAAACTCCCAGCTAACTCTGGAGCAGAGAACTGCTCAGGAGACTGTTCTGTGTTATAGGCCAAAATATTTAATGTAGAAAAGCTGTCACCCAAACAGGAGGGAGGTACATGGTGCCACTTGCCTCACCTGATACAAAAACATGCAGTATATATGTGATAAGGCAGAGAGGCTGAATCTTGGACGTCTCCTCTGTTGCAAATGGGACAGCTCCACTAAATCCAAGCACTCCTTCCTCCCTCAGGCCAGGCACACACAATATGAATGGCAATGACAGAGTCTCTCTGGCTATGGAGACTCACTGAATAGGGCCTGTGTGTCCCTGCCAAGAGGAGCTGTCATCTCTGGTCATCAGTGAATATACAAGAAGGAACAGGGTACTCTTGTTTCAAGAGAATTGAACACATTAAGAAATATTTGGCCCTTGGGCCTGGAGCAAACATTAAATACAGTTATTGGCAGGAAAGAAATTTTTTTTGAAAAAGACAAAAAAAAAAAAAAAAAACTGTGCTCCTAAAGAGAGATTAGTTGTTTTGTTATTCTTTTTTAAAAATTCGGCTTGAAATCCAGAATGCTTTATTCATCTTAAAATATGGGAATAAAAAATTACAGCTGCACCACGGAGTTCTTTGCTTTGGGTGTGGAGGTTTTCAGTTCAATTTGAAAATAATTGGCAGTTTTATGACTGCCCCCTTAAACACATTCTGGAACAAAAAGGGCATAGGTATACAATATTTGGCAAGTGTTACTGAAGCTAGTCTGTTTTCTCATCTTCAAATTAGATCAGATGCACTTTATGTGAATAAAACAGAATACATGCACAGATCAACTGCGCTGGTTTTCTGTGGCCCTCAGATCTCTTCTGGGTCTTCTGATGGCTCTTCCTGGATGCTGGGTCAAATGTGGTGGGAGAGGAGGGCTTCCAGCCCCTGGTCTGTGTCCTTGTCCCTCCCCCATCTCCCTGCGTGGATCTTGATGTCTGCACCCGGCCTCTGTGCAGGTGCCCACTGGCTGGTGATGACATTCTGGCTCGTGGCCCAGCAGAGTGACATCATCGACAGCACCTGCCACTGGAGGCTGTTCAACCTGCTCGTGGGGGCCATCTACATCCTCTGCTACCTCAGCTTCTGGGACAGCCCTTCCAGAAATAGGATGTTCACATTCTACATGGCAAGTGGCACTTTTCTTTATCCTAACATTTAAAGTATATACAGCAAGTGGAGGGGTGTGTGTAGGTGTGTGTGCATGCATGCACTGGTGTATGCCTAGCTCTTGAAGAATAGCTTAGTTTAGGAAAAATCCTTAAAGGAATTATAGTCGGGAGTTCGAGACCAGCCTAACCAACATGGAGAAACCCTGTCTCTACTAAAAATACAAAATTAGCTGGGCATGGTGGTGCATGCCTGTAATCCCAACTACTCAGGAGGCTAAGGCAGGAGAATTGCTTAAACCTGGGAGGTGGAGGTTGTGGTGAGCCAAGATCGCACCATTGCACTCCAGCCAGGGCAGCAAGAGAGAAAAGAAAAAAAAAAAAGAAAAAAGAGGAAGAGAGAAAGAAGTGGGGACTGGATCCTGAGTGAAGGTGGGACTGTTTAGAGGTGCATGGGGGAGAAATGGGAAGGTGCAATCTCTGGGTGAAGCATTGGTCACCCCAACATTGGTGCAGAGGAGAGATTTCAGAGTGAGAATGAAGATAGGAGGCATGGGGCCAAAACCACAAAAACGGCAGGAAAGACAGAAGCAGGTGATGGAGTTGGGGCAAACTGAAGAATCTGAACCACCAGAACCACGCCACGGAGGAGTGGCGAGAGAAAGATGCCTTCTGTCCCGGCCACTGGCCAAGGCATTTGGTACAGAAATCCTGCCCAGGCCATTTGTAAGATGACGAAGCAGCTCCTCATCGTCTTTTTTATTTCTCTTTTTATTTGGATTTTTGAGAGTGAAAACGAAGCCCATGAATAACCCTGGCAAATCTTTTGAAGACTTTTAGAAAATCAGCATATAATTTGTTATATTAAAATAAATAACATACACAGTATTTAAATATATCTTCTTTGAATTATATTGAACTCATTTACTTATTTTAATGAAGACATATATTTGTATATTTAAAAATCAGAAAGGAAAGTTATTGAGGTGACCCAGACTGGCATGCCATGCGCCTTCTGGACCATCTGCCATTTTGATCAGCTGTGGCCGCCGGGCCAGGCCCCTTTGTCAGCCCTCGAGCTCCCATCTCTGGCTGTCACCTGGTGGCTGCAAGGTGAATTTACCTGGTGGCTGCAAAGAAAAAAAAATCCCAAAGTTATTAGAAAATTTGTGACCTTAGCTTCCTGGAATTCAGTGGCATCATGAGCTCTGCAGCTACCTTTAATTATAACATGAATGCGTGCCTGCAGTTAGCATGAGGATGGAGAAATAGGCAAAGTAGAAATAAAAGTCTCCTCTCAACCCAGACTGATGCTAAAGACAGTCCCCAGCCATTTGAGGAATGCCCTTATACTTCCCGGGCCTTTATGATTCTGCAGACATTTTAATGAACCACCCTGAGAACAGGGAGGCTCTCTCTTTGCCAGAGAAGGTCTTAGTGGGACATAGGTCTGTTCCTGGGTAGGCCCAGCAGCCTGGGGTTCCCAGTGGGCACCCAGGATGGAGGGGAGGGGGAGCGGCTGCACTCACAGGATGGGGCGTCCCCTGGGTGAGGTGCACCTGGCGAGGTGTGGGGCTCTCCCCTGGGTCCTGCAGGTCATGCTGTTGGAGAACATCATCCTGTTGCTGTTGGCTACGGACTTTCTCCAGGGGGCGTCGTGGACCAGCCTGCAGACCACAGCGGGGGTCCTGTCTGGATTTCTGATTGGTGAGACCCAATGTCGCTTTCTTACCTACATCCCCTCCCTCAACCTATTTTTTTTTTACAGTGGGTTCAAAGGGCAGGAAGCTGAGTTCAGACGTGGTTCACTGGAGACAGGGGAACCAGGCTCACTGCACTGTGGGTGGCAGAGCCATTCCCATCGAGCATGAGACACTGAGCTCAGCCTCTTCTGCCTTGCTGAGCTGTGCTTGGAACCTCACACAAAACGGGCTGCCCCGCTCGACCTCAAAGCCCCCATCCTCCCCGGAGCTCCTGCAGGGTTCGGGATGTGACTTCACTCTGCCCTCCCACCTCAGGGAGCTCCTTGAAACCTCCTGACATGGCACCTGCAGCCCATAGGCAAGCACCCTGGGAGGTTGGTGCCCTCGCAGTGGAAGAGAGGAAGGTGAGGCACAGAGGAGGTCGAGTCCCCAGAAGATCTGATGGTTTGTGACAGATAGAGCTGAGACTCAAGCCCGGCTCCAATGCAGGCCTCAGCACAGGCCTGGCAGCTGTCATCAGCCATGTTTTATGAATGCATGGCCCCAAGGCTGTGCTGTGCCCACGGTGATGACCTCGCTTCCCAGATTGGCATGAGGTCTGCAGGGATTCCACCCCGCTCTTGAAAGGTGCAGTCACCAGTCTGATCTCCCAGAACAGTGGGCCCACTGCTACCTCTGCCTCCTGGATTCAAGTAATTCTCCTGCCTCAGCCTCCCAAGTAGCTGGGACAATAGGTGCATGCCACCACGCCCAGCTAATTTTTTGTATTTTTGGTAGAGATGGGGTTTCATCATGTTAGCCAGGATGGTCTTGGTCTCCTGACCTAGTGATCCGCCTGCCTCAGCCTCTCAAAGTGCTGGGATTACAGGCATGAGCCACCGTGCTCAGCTCAGCTCCTTGCTTTTTATGGATGAGGCATATTCCATGGTTTGGACAGACCACGGCTTGTTTCACCATCGGTTTGTCCTTTTTAAAATAATCATTTGAATAGCAGATCACTGATTTCTAAGCTGCATATGTGGATAAATGGCTGGGAAACTGAGGACATCGGGCTGCCCAGGTGAGACGCACCACCCTCACCACACTGCATGGTGGTCTGGGTGTTCCTGGCACATTTCAAGCAATCCTTCCTTCAGAGAGGGGCCATGTGATACTGGAATGAAGGGGCCTTGCCAGCCAGGAGCTCTAACAACTAATCCAGATTTTCCAGTTCAGGGGAGGTATAGCTGAGTCCCGGGGGACACAGTGTGGTGGGAGGGAAACATGTACCCTCATCTCCTTTCCGGATTTTAACACTAAGTCAGAAAAGATGTCCCACACCACTTCGAAAACCTGTCACACTCCTGGGAGCGGACACCTGGTTTCCTTCCAGTGAGAAGGCGTTTTCACAGCCGAATGCTGGCTCGCAGCACAGCAGGAGGGCAGTGAGCAGGAAACCCAGAGCCACGGGCAGCACCGAGCACCCAGGCGGCCGCCAGCTTACAACCAGGTCTGCCCATCCTCCTCTGGCCTCTGATGGAGCTGTCAAACCCCTGGCTCCCAGGTGACCCTTGGGAATCCTCGGTGGGAAGATCCAACACAAATGATAGTCCAAAGAGCACAAGCTGGCATCCAGGCTCCTCCCCTTTTCCTTCTATCCTGTGACCAACATTCATTGAGTACCAACTGCGTGCCAGCCTGGGGATGCCACCCGGAACCCCCAAATGACATGGCCTCTGGAAAGCCTGTGTTCGCTGAATAAGGGTTCCCAGGACTTCTGTGATCAGGGGCCTTTGTTCATCTTTCCTGGCCTTGGGTGTCTCCTTGTAAAAGAAGGGTGACAATACATCCATCACCAGGCAGTTGTGAGAATTCAAAACCGTGCAAAAATTGTCTGAGTAGGGCCCACAGCAGAGATGGCACTGAACATGGAAATCCCATCTCCCTTTCCCAGGTTTGAGCCTGGCCACTAACCAGCTGCTTGACCTGGGCCTCCTGGTCCCCCAAGACACAAGAGAGGCTTCAGGGGTGGGGGTGTCCTTCAGCGGGTGTCTTTCCAGCTTCATTGCGCTGCAATCTCCTGGCCCTCTCGGGCATTACTTCAGATTTCGTGATGTTTATAATGAGCACCCAGAAAGCAGGCACTTGATCCAGTACAACAGGAAACTGGAAATAACGTGGGAGGCTTACTGGAAGGCTCTGGTAAAGAAATTATTGCAGCAGTCAACACTTCTGATCAAAATGAATTAAACTGACAACAATGTGATTAAGATGTTTATGTACAAAGGAAGTGTTGTTGTTCTTCATGGAAATTCCTTGAAATGGGGTTTTGGATGAATCTGATTAACCTCTGTTTATGTCTTACTTGTTTCTGAGGCTATTTCTTACTCCCTTCCCCCGGCTTTGTAACCCATCAGCCACTGTATTGACGGTTGAATTTGGAGCATGTGATCCAGGTACTCCAAAGTAGAATGCATATTTCTACCAAACATGTATCTGTGTGTACACACACATGCACGAATGCACACTCGTGCACACACTCACATACACGAATGCACACTAACACACACGCAGAGATTATTCAACGGGAGCTACTCTCCAGACAAAAGCATAGGATTTAAGCCTTCTTATTCATGTTTAAGTCTAGAAACATTTACAGCTTAGAGAAGCTGGAACCTACTTAAATTTCCCAAAAAATATCCAGTTCTGAGGCTCCAACAAGAGTCCTATTTTGGACCCCAGATTATCTTGCTCTACACAAAATGGCCAGAACCTGAAACAGCAAACCACAGGGAGGATGCAGACTTCAAAGAACATAACCTTAAGGTCTTTTTGTTCCTTTTCAGGCAGTGTCTCACTGGTAATTTATTATAGCCTGCTGCATCCAAAAGCCACAGACATCTGGCAGGGCTGCAGAAGGAAGTCCTGCAGCATTGCAGGAGGTGATAAAACCGAGACAGGAGCTTCTCCCCGGGCAGTGGCTCTAGCTGGGAAGAGAACAGAGAGCTCAGGCTCATGCCAAGGGGCAAGTTATGAGCTAGCTATTTTGGGGAAGCCCCCCACCGCTGAGCAGCTCCCCCCAGAGGCAGGGCTGGGGACCCAAGTTGCTGTGGAGGACTCCTTCCTCAGTCATCACCACTGGCTGTGGGTGAAACTTGCCCTGAAAACAGGAAATATGTCTAAGATCAATGCCGCCTTTGGAGATGACAGTCCTGTCTCCTGTCCGCCTGCGTGGGGGCTGAGTCAGCAGGGCGACCTGCAGAGGAAGGCCCTGTCTCCCCAGCAAGAGCTGCCATCCTCCTCCCGTGACCCCTCGACGTTAGAGAAAGGCTCCGTGTTTGAAGGTGTCTCTAAAGCAGAGGCCGACCCATTGGAAACCTCACATTACGTATCTTTTGCCAGCGATCAGCAGGACGAAGTGCCCACCCAGAACCCAGCAGCCACACAGGAGGAGGGCACCCCAAAGGAAGGAGCTGGTGCTGTTTCTGGGACCGAGGGGAAGGGGACGGGTGGGCAGCCAAGAGGAGGGGAAGGACAGCAGAGCTCCACATTGTACTTCAGTGCCACTGCAGAAGCGGCCACATCCTCACAAGAAGAAGGCAGTCCAGTCACTCTGCAGACGCCCCACTCTGGAAGGAGATTGGGAAAGAGCAGCCCTCCCCAGCCTGCCTCGCCCCAGCCGGTGGCCAAGCCCTTCCCGGTCACCATGGCCGACATCAGCCCCATCCTAGGCACAGGCCCACGCAGAGGCTTCTGCGCCCATGCAGGCTTCCCTGGAAGAGCCCTCAGCATCTCAGAGCTGGAGGAGCAGCAGGAGCCCACAAGGGACCTAAGTCACCATGCAGCTGTTGGTGCATGGATGTCGTTGCCACAGCTGAGGACGGCTCATGAGCCCTGCCTCACGTCCACCCCTAAGTCTGAGTCTATCCAAACGGATGACAGCTGCAGAGAAAAGGTGAAGCACGAGCAGAGTTTTTTCATCTGACCACAGTCATGGGGGCATAAGACAACAGGCTGATGAATCAAGCTGGCATTTGGTGCAGTGGGAGGAGAAATCCCACTTCTGCCGACACGCGTGTCCTTGGGCACATCGCTGTCCCCTCTGAATCTCTATCTGCATCCCTGAAAAATGAGGAAACAGGGCTGGATGATTTCTCAAACCCGCTGTAAACATCACAGACCCCACACGTACATCGGAGAGACTCTAAGACACTGTGGAGGAGGAGAAGGAGATTCCAGGCAAAACTGCCTGCTGCCTTTTGTGAACTATAGGGTCCCCTATTTTACCTTTTTGCTGTGGCTTCTAGGACACACAGAGGTAAAACGTAGATTCCTATTTTATTCGGAGTTCTTGTTACAATTAGTCTTGCCTCACATTTAGTGGTTATTAATCTCGTTTTAATACATTCTAACTGCATTATGTTATGAAATCTCACGGTAAGAGAATGTGAATGCTTTCCAGGAGTGGATGAGGGCTGTGGCTTGCAATGACCAACATAACTCAAAGTGCGCATGTCATTCTAAGATTCCCATATCTTTTGGTTAGGGACAATATTAGATCCCTTAAAAAGGAAGAGTAGAATCACGTAGCTCAGCCTCACTCACGCTAAGGGCATGTGTGACATTTTCTGCGACACGCTCTCAGACCATCAGCATCCTGCTGGCCAGCTGCATGCATATTTTTCTGTGAAATGTGCACCTCCCCTTGTCGCAGGCTGGCCGGCCAGCAGTTCTCTTCCAGCTCCCACTGCTGCTGTTACTCCCCATCTCCTGTACCTCCAAGCTTTGTTCCCGCCCTCCATGCGATGTGAGACACCATCTGGGATTTCAGCCCATCCAGCAAGAAGGGAGCAAACGTCCATTCCTCCTCCTCTCTGATTCCTCCACTTGAAAGCGTTCTTTGTGGCTAGGTATTTCCATCATTTCTTTAACCTTTCCTTTGTAGCCGATCAAGGAAGTCCAATCATAAACCATCAAAGAGAAAGGCACACAGAGGGCGGGATGCTATTTGGGGATGGCTGGTTTTGTTTTGTTTCATTTAATTTGTTTGTTTCTTGAGACAGGGCCTCGCTCTGTCACCCAGGCTGGAATGCAGTGGAACAAGCATGGCTCACTGCAGCCTCAACCTCCAGGGCTTAAGCAATCCTCTTGCCTCAGCCTCTTGAGTAGCTGGGACTACAGGCAGGTGGGCACCATGCCTGCCTAGTTTTTTTTTTTTTTTTTTTTTGTAGAGTCGGGTTCTTGCCACATTGCCCAGGCTGGTCTCCAACTCCTGATTAAGTTCAAACAATCTGCCCACCTCAGCCTCCCAAAGTGCTGGGATTACAGAAGTGAGCCACCATGCCCACCCAGGATGGGTAGTTTTTTTGTTTGTTTGTTTTTGTTTTTGTTTTTGTTTTGTTTTGTTTTGTTTTTGAGACGGAGTTTCGCTCTTGTTTTCCAGGCTGGAGTGCAATGGCGCGATCTCGGCTCACCACAACCTCCGCCTCCCGGGTTCAGGCAATTCTCCTGCCTCAGCCGCCTGAGTAGCTGGGATTACAGACACGCGCCACCATGCCCAGCTAATTTTTTGTATTTTCAGTAGAGACGGGGTTTCACCATGTTGACCGGGATGGTCTCGATCTCTTGACCTCGTGATCCACCCGCCTCGGCCTCCCAAAGTGCTGGGATTACAGGCTTGAGCCACTGCGCCCGGCCAGGATGGGTAGTTTTTATCCTCTGCAAACACTCTGGATTAGGGAACAATATTAGAGCCCAAAAAAGGAAGAGTAGAATAACTTAGCTCAGCCTGACAGGTACTAAGGGCATGTGCAGACGCTTTCTGCAATAAGCTCTCAGACCATCAGCATCCTCCTGGACAGCCACATAAACCAATCGGGGATAGTAGACAAGTGGCTACAAACCTTTGATACAACATAAAGATAATGAGAGTTTGGGTCAGATGTAGGCGCACACACCCATAATCCCAACACTTTGAGAAGCTGAGATGAAAAGATCACTTGAGGCTAGAAGTTCAACACCAGCCTGGGCAATGTAGTGAGACCCCCATCGCTACTAAAAATACAAAAATTAGCACGGGGTGGTGGTACACACCTGTAATCCCAGCTTCTCAAGAGGCTGAGGCACGAGAATCACTTGAACTAGGAGGTAGAGGTTGCGGTGAGCTGAGATCGCACCACTGCACTCCAGCCCAGGCGACAGAGCAAGACTCTATCTCAAAAATATATATATATAAAGGGGGAGTTTGTTAACAGAACAAAATCATTCCTAGTTATATTCACTGTGCTATTCCAGCACCTCCGTCCCTCCTCCACGCAGTCTCTCGCCCAGCCATGTGAGAGCAGGGTCCTCTTCCATGAATCCTCACTGGCCCTCCCCATTTGCCCTCCAAGCCTCCACTCAAGCGTCACCTCTTGGCATCTTCCTGGGCCCTCCCCAATCTGCCCTCTGCCCCTGGGTTGTACTCCACTGCCTTTTGCCCTGTGGTGACCTCTTCCTAAACGTGAAGCCCTGCTTCCCTGAAGGCTAATTAGGGTTGCAGTCCTCACTCTGGGCTAACTTTAAGGCCCAACATAGCGTCCAGCAAAAGGAGGCGTTGGGGCATTCAACAGGATGACTTAACTCAAGAGCCGGGCTATACACCTAAATTTCAGCTTGAGTGCATATCCTGGTTCAACAGCATTTGTCTTATGGGGGAAAAGTAAGGGTGGGATATGGGGAATTTGCTCCATTCTTTTCAAACTTCCTAGCCCTTGAATAGCCTGGAAAGCTGGAAGTCCGCTTCATTCATTCATTCGTTTAAGGAATACTAGTTGAATGTGACAGGCACTGAGAATACAGAAATCAAGGCATGCCCTTGCTGTTTAAGGCGTCATGGACCAACATGGGCTTCTCAAATGGCCTCTTCACTTCATGCCTCCAAAAAGCGTATTGCCCGGTGGTGAAAAGGATCAGAAAATATAAGCTATATTTATTAGAGAAGACTAATAAATGGACACTTAATTCAAAAATGCTTGCTGAGCACCTACCGAATGCTAGTCATTAGGATCACAGAGCTCCACAGAAGAGCTGCGCAGGCGCCCGTGGCGTCAGTGGGAGAAGCAGGTGCTCCGAGACGGCTGTAGGAACCCTCACCAGGCTGGCTTAACAAGAAGGACGTGACTGTCATCTTCAGGGACCCAGCGCTGCTCTGGACAGGAGAGATTCTATTTTCTTCCTGCAGTTTCTTATGAGCCATGAAGAAACTCCTTAGGGTTCCAGGAGGATCTTTAAGACAGAGTCACTCAGAGGTGGACAAGTAGCTGTCCCCGGGGACGAGCGCATGAAGCCAGAACAGCCCCTTAGTGAAATGACTAAGAGGAAACGTGGAGGACTAGAAGACACAGCTGAAAGTGACTTTCCAGGCCCTGACCTGGGCTCTAATGGCTGGGCATGGGCAATGAGGAGGAGGTGGTGACTGTCAGGTCTGTTCCAGGATGTTTTCCATTATTATTATTATTTTTTTTTTCACATGGAGTTTTGCTCTTGTTGCCCAGAATGGAGTATAGTGACAGGATCTGGGCTCACTAAAACTTCCACCTCCTGGGTTCAAGTGATTCTCTTGCCTTAGCCTCCTGAGTAGCTGGGATGACAGGCACCCGCTACCATACCTGGCTATTTATTTATTTGTGTATTTATTTTAGTAGAGATGGCATTTCACCATGTTGGCCAGGCTGGTCTTGAACTCCTGACTTCAGGTGATCCACACTCCCCAGCCTCCCAATGTGCTGGGATTATAGATGTGAGCCACTCTGCCCAGCCCATTTTCTATTCTTAAGAAAGGAGGAAGCAGAGAAGGAAAACCAGTGCATTGGGAGAGACCTGAAGATGAGCACGTCGGCTCCCTGCCCTCGTGGAGCCTCTACGGGTCAGGTTTTACAGTTATCCAAAATAACCAGCCTTGGGTGCCCATGATGCTTCACTCCAGGAGATCTCATGCCTCTGCCCATGGGAGGACACAGAGGACTTCAGTGGGGACAGAAGGGCCTTCTCCTTGCCACCAGCTCTCAGGACTGAATGCTCACTGCTGTCTTGGGGAGAAGGGACTGGGTGGTGCATTGGAGCTCACTAGCCCCCATCTGGATCTTTGTGGCTGGGCCCCTGGCATATGACTGTGACATCTGGTGCCAGCTGTGCTAATGCCCTTCAGACAGAGACCACTAGGAGCCCCCTGTAACTGAACCAGTTGGGTTTATGACTCTTCTCAGCAAAGAAGGGTGCATGTCATGGGAGACCATGGGGCCCTCAGTGTCCGGAGGCTGAGGTGGGCAGATTGCTTGAGCTTAGTCAGGAGTTGGAGACCAGCCTGGGCAACATGGCAAGAATCTGACTCTCCAAAAAAAAAAAAAAAAAAAAAAAAGAATATAAAAAAAGTAGGCAGGCATGGTGCCCACCTGCCTGTAGTCCCAGCTACTCAAGAGGCTGAGGCAAGAGGATTGCTTAAGCCCTGAGGTTGAGGCTGCAGTGAGCCATACTTGTTCCACTGCATTCCAGCCTGGGTGACAGAGCGAGGCCCTGTCTCAACAAACAACACAAAACAAAACCACCCATCCCCAAAACAGCATCCCGCCCTCTGTGTGCCTTTCTCTTTGATGGTTTATGATGGGACTTCCTTGATCGGCTACAAAGGAAAGGTTAAAGAAATGATGGAAATACCTAGCCACAAAGAATGCTTTCAAGCGGAGGAATGAAGGCGCGTGCAAGAGGCATGGACGTTTGCTCCCTTCTTGCTGGATGGGCTGAAATCCTAGATGGTGTCTCACATCGCATGGAGGGTGGGAACAAAGCTTGGAGATAAAAGAGGTTGGAAAGGACTTAGAGGATTCGGGCTTTGCGGGCTGAGTCTGCGAGGGGCAGGGAAGCAGGACCCCCTCGGGGCGGGGGGCGGTGCTGTGACTGCGTATTGCAGTCAGTTGCATCTGTAGGGAGAGACTCAAGCAAGCATAAAGCTGCCATGGGTAGAGCAGCAGCCATTACCCATTTAGCGGGAAAGGGGGAGCTTGGTGTTTTGTGGTTGCATGGGGACCTTTGGTCTTGCTGTGTCATGGTCTACCCTGGCCGTGGCTGAGGCTGGTGTCCTGTGAGAGGCTTTATATCCAACAGGAGAACACCAGGGCCAGCCTGTAAGCACCAGACCAGGTCCCAGAGGTCAGGGACTGCTCTTTTCTTTGTCAGAATATTGGTGGCTTTGTAGACATTTGTTAGGCTAAATATTATCTATTGGATCACAACCAAAACAGTAGCTTTTCCCAAGTCCCAGCGGCGGGTCCCTCATCCTCCAGCTATGTCTGGTCCCAAGTTTGTATTTCAACCCATCCCTTCCTTAGCACAGAGAGGACCTCACATAGACCAGCTGCATGTGTCCACAGCGCACAGCCCATCCCGTCCTTAGCACAGAGAGGACCTCACAGAGACCAGCGGCATGTGTCCACAGCGCACAGCCCATCCCGTCCTTAGCGCAGAGCAGACCTCACATAGAC